TTGCACAAAGAGTTGATCAGCATTGTATGTTGTTCAAATTGAAGTTGTTGAGAGTTTACTGCACAGCTGGCTTATTGGTTGTTGTTTACTTTTGCAGCTAGATTGATCTCAAAGAGCTTTGAAAGGTTTGAAAGATAGGCGCAGTAGCTTGTTGGCATTGGCATGGCAGAGGAAGAGACCCCCATGGGCCAAGTCACTCCTGAGGAGAAGGACGATGGTGTAGTTGAAGAGCCCAGTACACCTGTGAAGCAAAGGCCAGCTTCCAAAGCAAAGACCCCAAAATCCAAGAGCCCAAAAGCAAAGAGCCCTAAAGGGAAGAAGCCCAAAGCAAAAGGAAAGAGCAAGCCAAAGCCAAAGCCAAAGGCAGGCTCTTTAAAAAGGCCTGCTGCCAGTGGAGAAACCGTACAGCCAAAGAAGAAGCCAGCAGCTCATGGCTGGGCAGCAGGGTTGCAGGAGGATCAGGAGGAGGAAGCGCCAGAAGTTGAAGAGGATGAACCAAGAGAATGTGGAGGAGGAGGAGGAGGAGCAGGACAATGCAGACTTCTTCGAGTGCGATGAGGCCAAGAAGGACAGGTCGAAGGACAACAAGTTCAAGGGCTTGTTGTCTGAGGGCTCTCTGCCAGACTATGTTGTGCAGGCTTGGAAGAAGACCTTGAGCATGAAGAAGGGACGCACAGAAGAACAGCGCAAGATAGTGAACCAAGTCCTGGACAGCCCAAGATATTTTTCTTGTGCTTGTCTTTCCTGCGTGCTTATACCTGAGTGTGTGTGCTTGTGGTTTTATCCAAGTGTCTCTACTTGTGGCTATATGTTTTACAAATTACTTTCTTCAAAAGATGTGTTTTAGATGCAGTTTTGAATATTTGCAAATCAAAACGTAATGAAAAAATAGGAAAACCCTGAGTGAAGACCAACCTAAATAAATTTAGGTTGTACCTAAATCAAATTTACATTTACTAACCCATTTACACTTTTTGCCACCTAAATTCATCAATTTACGTAAATCCAATGAAAATGTAAATTTACTAATTTCGGTGACTTAGGGTATTTGCTGGCAAAGTTCGATTCCAACTCCCTGAAGCCAAATATAAGATGACAACGCCTGCAATTGCAGAGCTGGTATTGGAACTCGATTCGCGACTGGTCAGCAAAAGTGATTTCGACAAAGTGAAGGAATCCCCGATCATGATGTTCAAGACCATGTTGCATGAGGTCATGCCTTCCATGCAAGCAACAGCCACACTGTATGGCTACCGTGTGTCACACCATCCAGGTGCGAGTAAGCAGGAAGCGCAATTGCAATGTGTCCTCAAAGAGCCATTTGTTGCACGAAAGCAGTTGCTCGAAGCCAGCGGATCCACAAGCCTGCTGATTCGTGATTACCTGGAGAAGGGCAAGGAGGCAGGTAACACGACCATCCTGCCCCGTTTGTGGCCCATCTCGACTCAGGAACTGCAGAAAGTCCGTATCACGATTCAAGGCACCCCTGGTGTTGCAGGGATCGTGGTTGCTCGACGTGGACTCGCTGTTCGGGTTTGGTGTGATCAGGTCAAAGCTGCTCGTGAGAGCCTTCTTGCAGGGGATGCGCGCCTTGTTCCTGAACACATGCACATTGTACCTAAGTTGTCCGTTGAGCTGTCCGGCTGGCCGGCTGCGACTGACGCAGCTCACGTTGTTGCCTCCACCATAGCTGCGATTGGAGTTCCAGTCATCCACATGCGCACGTACCGAGCTGCAGGTGTGCACACTTGGGTTGTCACTGCTCAGGAAACCGCTTCACGCTTGAGATCAACAAAGATGTCGTTGAGATCCTTGTGCAAGAACTTGGTCAGAACGTTCCGCCTCGCTCCGCTGCCAAGGGGAAATCAAAAGGAAAGACCAAGTCACCGCCAAAGCAGGAAGAAGCTGTGCATTCATGGCCTCTCAAGACCCCAGCCTCCGGATCTCGTCCAGACGATGCCCGTCTTGACCGGCTTGAAGACCGGTTTGAGAAACTTGAGGCAAGGCAATCACAATTCGAAGGCCGTGTTGACACCAAATTTGATGCAATTCAAGATAGCCTTCGACAACTCCTTGCCAATACAAACCCGAGACAAAGGGAAGCAACGGGCGAAAGCCCGCCCACCAAGCATGTGAAGATCACCTGACAGCCCTGCCATGGGCCCTTGTGTGTCCTTAGGCCCTTTGCCTCTGGATTTTGGTCGTGTTTGTGGTTTATTCGTGCGCTGTTGCTTGGGCATGGACTTTTCACTGGCCCATGGCTTACCTTTTGCTTTCTCCATCTCAAAATGTGGGTGCACTGGCTTGTGAGCATGGCGCATTTTGTGGACTTCACTTGGCCATCTGCCGTTGTGACGTTTTTGCAGGTCTGGACTTCTTTCCACTTGCTGGCCTTCTGTGTGTGGCTCAGGCCATGGTTCCTCTCTGTCTCTCTTCATTTCTGTGCCTTCGTTTTGCGCCATGTCATTCTTCAGTGCTGGCCATTCAGCCTCTGTGCTGAATACCCAGGGGATCATGTGCTCCGCATGATTAGGTTGAAGGAGATGCATTTCCCTCCCAACCGCTTTCGTCATAAGTTAATGTATTTTCAGTGGTGCCTTGCCATTGCCTCTTTTTGCTCGCTTGTGTGGCCGGCTGCTCTGTGCCCGACCATCCTTGTGTCAGAGCTGTGGTGTGACCTGCTGAGTGAATTCAAGGATCATACACCCAAGAGCGGTGGGCCTTTCCCACCTTACTTCTTCGTTTGTGCGTCAAAACACGATGGCAGAGTGAGTGCGGCATGTCGACGTCGTCAACATTCTGTCTTGCATTTTGATTCCACCAAGGGATATCCAGGAGAGGGACCCGAACTTGTTTCACTTGTTTCGGCTAACATTGGGTCCCTTAATACCAATCATTTGTGGAAGTCGTGGGGCGCCGACATCATCTGTCTTCAAGAGACACGAATTGGCAAGAATAATGTCCGTACTTCTGTTCGAAACATTGAGGCTGTTGGCCTCCGACCAATCCTTGGTCAGTTGTTGCCGGGGTTATGGCATGCCAATGGCACAACAAAAGCGCCATGTGGGGGAACTGCCATTCTTGGTTCTGACACAGCCATCACTCCGTTTGAGATGCACCATGACCAAACTGGATTGTTCAATGGTCTCTTTCAAACAAAAAGGTTTGCTGCAGCTTGGTATCAAGTGACCCCCAAAATCAAGGCCTTGATTTTGTGTGTGTACGCTTGCACAGGTGCTTCAAGCGATTCGAGGGTTCATGGTGAAAATGATAAGATGTTTGCTGATATCCTCACCTTGGTTGCCCAGTACGGTGACATTCCTGTCATTTTGACCGGGGATTTCCAAGCGGTTCCTGCCACCTATCCTTCTCTGGCTGGGGCCATGAACTTTCATGGGTGGGTTGACCCGCTCACCTCAACTGATGAAATGGGCTCCTTGACCCGGCCTTATACGTACTCTAAAGATCTCTAAAGACTGTTGTTTTTCAGGAGCGGATGATGGGTGTACCTCCATTGATGGAGTCCTCCTTAATAAGGTCGCCTTCTGTGCCATGCATGATGCACATGTGTTAGAGCACTTTGGGCGCCAACATCGCCCAATCAAGGTCACCTTTCAATGGGATTCCTGGCTCCAGAATGGGTATATCGTCCATAAATTTGCCCCGATTGACGCCTCGCAAGTTCAAGTTGGCCCCTTCAGCGATGCACCCTCCCCTCTGTGGCGGGATCAGTTTGAAGGCTCCTTTCATGCAGCCCCTGACCATGAGGCCAAATGGAAGATTGTGAACGAGTTTTTCCAACAAACCCTGTTGGATCAAGGGGGCCAATGGGGTTCGGGTCCCAAAACCCGTGCTGCACCACCACAGTTTGTTAATAAACGTGTTTGCCCAAAGCAATTGGTGACCCGATGTGCCGCTACACAGGTTTCTCTTGACCTCTATAAACTGATCCGTAGGCTTGATGAGTTGTTTACGAGGCTTTCCAGAGAAGGTGGGTCACCCCAGGATGTCTTCAACACGAGAAGGCTTGCCCGGAAGTCGTTCAATATTGTAAACCATTTGGCACCGTCGATTGTTTGGGCCATTCCGGAGTGTCCTTCGCTTGTGGAAGTGTTTTTGGTGCGCAGATGGGCTGAACAATTTGCTGCCACATTGGATAGCCGACTTCGCCTCAAGAGGATTCAGAGCTGGAAACGCAAGATTCATGAGTCTGCTAACAGTGGGTGTGCTTATGTTTTTCAGCACCTTTGTCAAAAAGCGCAAGATGAACCTCCAAACTTGGTCCAGAATGAAAACGGTCAGATCATTACCCAGCCTGAGGAAGCGATTGCCACACTTAATTGTAAGTGGGACGATGTCTTTGCTTCTAATGTGTTGGCTGACCATCCCATCAAAATGCTTGAGGTTGTGTGGCCTTATATTCATGACATGCAGGTCCAAGTTGAGTTGCCCCCGATCTCGGCTAAGGATTTGTACCAGGTTATCCAAAAACGGAAGCCACGTGCGGCCCCTGGCCTTGATGGATGGCGTACACAAGAACTGCAAGTACTGCATCCTTCGTGTTTCCACGTTTTGGCGTTGTTCTTCCAATCTCTTGAACAGTCAAATGACCCATTACCTCGAGCTCTAGTCACTGCCAAGCAGGTCATTTTGAACAAGCCAGGGCCTGCATCACCAATGAACAAGCGTTTGATAACAATCATTCCCCCGTTGCTTCTTGCTTATACAGGGGCGCGGTATGCCCACCTGCAGCAATGGCAACAGCAAGCACTTCCTGCTGCAATTGTCGGTGGTGTCAAGCACCGTGCCATGTCCAGCCTCTATAATGAAGTGCGCCTTGAACTGGATTTGGCCAATCTTGATCGTGAGACAGTTGTAGGCATACAGATTGATAAATCAAAGGCGTTTGATCGTATCATTCCACAGTTTGCTGCCTGTTTGTTCATTGCTTTTGGCATTCCGGCACATGTTGTCAGCATCTTCGTGCGGTTTTATCAAGGCTTACGTAAGCATATGGCATATAGAAATTGGACCACACCTGTGTACACCACCCATCCCAATGGAGTGGCACAAGGCTGTTCATTCTCCATTCTTGCTATGAATGCCTACAACAAAGTCTGGTATCATCTAATTGAAAACCTACCAGGAATTTCGGTGAGAGCCTACATCGATGATGCATATTTGTGGTGCCGCATTCTTAATCTGCATCACTTGCAGACAGCGATCCAGGTTACTCGTGTCTGGGATGCATTGGTTGGACAGAAGCTGAACCCGGATAAATCTGCCCTTTGGAGTAATAATAAAGGTGGTAGACAAAAGCTTAAACTTGCCTTTTCCGACTTTCCAGTTGCTACGGAATTCGAAGTTTTGGGCACAAGAGTCTACACTGCTTTCAACTCCCCGTTTGGGTTTACTGACAAGGCTCTCAAACAGGCTTTGACAGACATTGATAACATTGCGGTCTTGCCGATTCCCCGGACAACAAAATCCTTCCTGATAGGAGCCAAGGTCATCCCGCGGTTGACATATGGTGCTCACATTTCCCGTATTCCCAAGAAAGCACTTGATCAAATTCAGAACGCAATTGTGCGCTGTTTGTGGTATGGACGGCCAAAATGGAGATCCAAATGGTTGGTACAGGCCATTCTCTCCAAACCACATCGCACTGAGCCCCACGTTTGCTTGTGCTTATCAGGTTGTCATTGAAGCTTTGCGATCTTGCTTTCTCCAGCCTGCGTTGTTCCCAAAGTTGTTGCGTACTTTTTCAAGTCCGCAAAACTTACCTCACTCGCTTGCTAGCCGTCTTCGTGTGGCCTGTGACACACTTGGAATCGAGATTGATCAGGATTTAAGGCTTTCGGTTTTTGGGTCTCAACCTGTCAGTTTTGCGCAACTCACACCTCAGGATGCTCGGAGAGCCCTTCAGGCAATTTGCCGACATGCATGTTACCATAAGGCTACTGCCACACCACGAAAGGACTTCCTCAAGCCGAAAGGTGTTTTTGACCATCAATTGTCTGTTCTTTCTCTTGCTAAGTGTCAAGATGCTACAGATGGTATTCCGAACACTGTGCGATTTGAATCCGTCGTGGTTGGATGTTCTCTCACCAATGACCGCATGGCGGCCACAGGGTGGACTGAATCCTCAGTGTGCCGCTTTTGCAAGCAAACCAAGCAATCAATGCCACACCTTACAGCGGAATGTGATAGCCTGCACCAGGAGATTGGAGTGCCAGTTGCCCACCAACTGGGAGAAAACTTTATGATGCTTGGCCATGTGGAACATCCGTTTTTCATCGCGCGCAAGCGGCTGCTGCACCAGAAGTCTGACGAGCTGGTGTTTTCAGAGTCATTTGACATTGGTGAAACCACCCAGTTGTGGACAGATGGATCAGTTATTCATGGCGAAAATTTTTGGCTGGCCACAGGAACGTTTGCTATTATTGCTGCTGATGGAAGCACGGTCTCTGCTGGCTTGGTGAACCATTGGGCCTTGAGCTCCTTTGTCACCGAGTTGTGGGCAATTTTCCGTGCCTTTTGCCAGGCAACTACTCCGGTGATCGTGCACTCAGACTGTCAATCAGCGGTCAACCAGATCCATGATTTTTTGCAGAATGGTTTTGTTCGAGCTACATGGCTCTGTCAGACATGGTGGGCTCGCTTTCGTGAGTTGGTGCAGTTGCGGCGTCAGGTTCACCCACAGCCTTTCCAAGTTCACTGGATTCCAGCCCATCAGCTTGAAGAAGTTGCGGACAACTTGCTGACAGAAACACAAGCGGTCTCATGTGGAACAACAGTACAACACATTTTATTAAACAGGATTGCTGACCGTGTTGCAAAGAGATTGGCATCCCGACTGGCTCCAGTGTGCCCAGAGATCTACAGCCGGGCAAAGCATGCCACATTTCGACATCAACAATGGTTGGTACAGCTTCATTCGTTGTTGCCCACAAATGCTGTACAAACCAATGCTGCTGGTGAAGCGGCAGTACCGGAAGTCCCTGATACCTTGACAGAGGCACAGGCTATGGCCCTCTATCCACAATGGCATTGGACAACTCCATTGGCAAAATTTTCATGGAAACCAAAGATTCCAGCTGAGATGTCAGCACCGAAATCCTGGAAGCATGGACCAGCAACGTGGATCAGTGTGCGAACGTTTTTCCAACAACTGCGGTGGCTAAGTCATCCAGCTGAGTCGTTCTCTTTTTGTGAGTTGGCGGTCGCCTTTCACTCTGCGGGTTTTCGCATTTCAGGGGATCAGGAACAAACTACATTTCGAGACCTCTACAAGATCCTTCGTGAGGCGCTGTTGTATCTGCACAAAAGCTTGGAAGCGCAGCCTTTTCCTGGCTCATTCAACTCAACAAAGCCTCGAGCATGTGGTCGCATCCTTCCACAGGGGTGCATCGATGGAGCTTGTCCATTTGTGCTCCCAGCAGCGCGCATCCTCCTTGCGCAGCTTTTTGGAATAGGTGCAGATCGGCGCCTTGAAACATGGGCCATCCCTGTACATGATTGGTAGTGCATGATGATCCTTTTCACCTGGGGAAATCCCATGTTCGGACCAGAGTGTCCGGCATGACATCGACTTGGACCGATGTGCGAGTGGTAGTAACAACTTGTAACATATATAAATACCATTACGTAAATACCCAAAAATTGGGCGTGAAGTCCACCATGTTTGCGTGCAGGCCTTCTAGTTACTGGGAGCCCTTCATCTGTAACAGTCTGCAACCATAACCAATGGGATTAGATTTGTCAACACACACCTGCATTATTGCATTTACATAGGATCTTCCTGTAGACATGGCTTTGTTGAAACATCCATCCTGATCCTCATCCAGCCTCCACCGGACCCGCCCTTTTCGCCTCCGGGCTTCGCGCCAGCGGCGCCACATCCAGGAACTCGGCGATGCGACCTGCGTCCGCGGCGTCGTTCCGCACCGAGTTGCGTCGACCCAGCGACCTCGACCGGCGAAGCCGGCCGATGAAGCCGACGTAAGGAACAACATCGGTATCACCTATTAGCACCTCCAAGGAAAACTGCTCAATTCCTGCGAGAAACGGTGAAACATGTTGTTTTTTCATGGCATACGGTGTTGCCTGGACGTCAAATCCTCAAGAATCACCACATGTCTCACTTTCAAAGGGCTCGGACACGCCAAATGAACCAAAAAGTAGTAATTGCCCTTAGGTAATGCCCCTATTACTATATAGTAAAATGCAACCTTGCTCTCCACCCTGCCCCTGCTTTGGGTGATGTTCCAGCGCCCAAGCGACGCATGAACTTCAAATCTCGATACAGGCCAAAGACGTCGGTGCGTCCCGGTAGGGGAAGCTCATGCCACCATTCCTGGAACGGAAAATCTTCAAAAGGGTGGTCTGACCGAGTCGCGCATGGCACGGCGTTAAAATCGTTTGTCTTATGTTATCTCCAATTTGTTGCTGTTGTTGTCGGTGGATGGATGGCTGGATGGTTTGTAGACTCCAATGGTGAATACAGGGTCAAAAGCACCCAAAGAATACCATGTCCCTGCCGAAACACTGGGCTTCTTTGAACTTCTTTGACAGCATCAGAATCAGCTCTCAGCTCACCCTATTATGATATACCATGCCAGAACACAAAATGTAGCCTCAAGCAGTTCACTGATCTTCACTCTACCAGCGCAACCGCAAAGAACAGTCCCCTACCAGGCCTGGTAGACCATATCCCAGGGAAATCGATTCAAGAACCTTGAGACCAAGTCTGACTCCATGTACAGCGCGGCATCTATACCTTAGAAACCAGCTCTGGCTCGTGGACTTAGACATTCACCAGCCACAGCGCTGATATAGTAACTCTGCGACAGCGTGTTTCCGGCAGGGTTTGGAGTTTGGAACCCCCTGTTGGACACATGTTGTGTTTTTTTATCCGTATGTCCATGTATATACAGTATTCCTGAATACTCTTGGAGTTCCATTCAGAACTTGATTCGAGCTGCTGCAGTACTACTGCAGTGCAGGGCTCCCTGCAGAACTGCATTAGGCATATTAGGCTTGGCTCCCGCACGGAGCATGGTGACGCCCATCCGGTGCAACTCCTCCAAATGCCTGCGGCGCGGCAGAGGAGACACGCCAGGCTGCATTTTTGGATGCGTCGACTCAATGGCAACTTCTCACAAAACAACATGGAATAGACCTAATTGGTGACTACTAAGGCTTCCAGCTACCTTCGCATTCGCACATCTTCGCACTGCGAACATTCAGGGTCGCCCTGGATGTGACTGAAAGGCGGAAAGATCAACTCCTGGACCTCTCAAAGCACAATAAATCGTGGGATTTCCATCGCAAATCAGAAGAAAATAGACATTAGGCCCATTATAGGCTATAGGCTATAGGCCAGGGTTGGTGGGGGGATCATCCGCGCATGTGAATTACAACTCATGTGGCCACTGCGCCAACATGCCTGGCATGAGACTCCTCCACCGCTTTAACAGCGAGATCCCAGTCTGGCAAGCCATACCTTGGTGCTCGGCTCGCATGAACTTTGGTGGCTACAACGGGCCGATTTCCAAAACCACCAGTAACAAGAAGCTATTAGGGGCTCCTGGCCTTACTACTAGGAGCGATCGGACGCTGCTAGGAGCAAAGGGGATCGCTACGAACGGAGCAAGGACGCAATCCAACAATAAGTGTCTTTGGGGCAATGTTGAGTTGAGTAAACAGTGTATCGAGTTCCCTGATGAACGCAGCCAGCAGCTGGCAGCATTCACCCGAGCCAAGGCACATGTCACAAGGGCAGCAGCTGCAGTCAGTGGTCACCGGCGACCCGCAAAGGAAGCCTGGACACGTGTGCAAAGGAAGCACGCAAACCTCTGAGGCATGAGTCGTTGGACTCCGAGGCAAACCAGCGACCAGCAGTGGTTCCAAAGAACACCATAATGTAGACTCTTGATTAATAACCACCCTCAGTTGAAGTGGATGTTGCACTTCAAATGAGGGTGGTTATTCATCAAGAGTCTACATTAATCTGAGTTCGCTCCACTCTGCACCAGCGTCCGGCTTCCTTTTCTGCTTTCTGCCACCCATCGCCGGGTCTCACTCCGGTCCACCCACGCCTGTCTCCGGTCCGACGCCACAAGCTCCCCAAATCTCCTTGCCACGGTGATGGAAGTGGAGCGGTGTGGCAGCATCCCAACCGCGCGCGCCTGAGGGCTGCAGGCTGAGCCCACCACCATGCACACTGTCGGGGTCTTCCAAACCACCTGACTGATGAGTGTGCCTGTTTAACGGGTTGGGGGATGGCAAAGCTGGCCATGATGGGATCGGAAAGGCCTCCAAGGCCTCCAACCAAACCGGAAAAACCCGTGTGATATTTGGACTATGTTTTTGGGCACTGTTTCATCTCATGACTGCAAAGGTTTTCGACCTTCATGTTGTTCAGTTAGTTTTCAAGGACAGTTCACCAGCCTTTTGCACCCATTCCCTCAACAAACGTGAGGAAGCAGCTATGGAATATCATGGAATATCCATATGGATAATATGTTTTGGCAACTGGGATTCCCTTTGGGGGCCGCAAAAGTCAGCTTTCTAGCCTGAAATTCGGGGCCAGTTTCATAGGTCAGTACAATGGCGATACGACCAACGCCACTCCTCCCATGGACCGGTCCATTCCTCCATAGGACGATACGGCTTCTCTCCGAACGCAACACATGATTGAACAAGGAGAGACAAAGGATTAATACATGAACCCGGCTCCCGCAGTTCAGTTGAAGGTGGAGACTGTGCAATGAGGAACCGATGTCCGAATATGCCCCATTGTGCACCTGCTGTCCGCCGGTTGCCATAGGCAGTTCCATTCCAGCCAACCTCAAGAAAGCTTCAGGGAATGCCTTCATCTTCCATCATCTTCCAACACTTCTGCAATTGGGTCGCTTGATTCACTGACGAGTTTGGCTCCTCCTTCACTAAGAGTCTTGACTATCTTAACTCTGCAATGCATTCCAGCATGAAGTAGAACCCCCCCTCAGCCATCACATACGCCCTCCACGGCCGAGGCGCACAGGGCGTCCCTTCTAGCAACTCTTGTGCCGCTGGGCAGGGCCGAGCCATGTGATTCAAAACCACGTCGATGATCACCTCAACTCCTGCAGCATGGAGAGCTGTTTTTGGAGTTCAAGTTGATGGGGAGGACTAGGTGACCTCAAAAAAAATAAAAAACACTATACGGACTTCCAGTCCACCGCCGTCTTCGGGCCTTTTTCTCTTGCTGGTATTCCTCGCATCTCGCATCTAGTACTGGGGCGCCACGCACGCCACCAACCAACCCTTGCACCGTGGGGAGGAAACATCTATTTCCTCCCAAGCCGCCTCGGTCACCCCGACGGCACCGGCCTGCAGTTCGGCAGCCCGCGACGGCGGAGCGCAGCTCGTCGGCCGTGCCGCTGCGGGAGTGCAACGAAGCGCTCACCGGCTGGTACCTGGACCGCGCGTCTGACCGCGCTGCCACTTCGTGGGTCACATTGATGTGACGGGGGACCGGGGGGGTTTTGATGAGCCTTCACATCTGGAAGAAAGAAGGAACAGGATCCTGGAACAGGTGTGAACCACGAAACAACCACATCTGAGTCTACTAGGGAAGACCCTTATCTCCGTGATGCTTGTAGAACCAGTGTCCCGGCCGAGGGTCGGTGAAGATGCGGTGAAGCAAGGGAAAGGCATCGGACGGACCTTTCCTCATGGTGGTTTTCGGAGAAGACAAGTGAAATTGGACCCCAAATCACCTCATGACTCCTCTTTGATCAGGATGACGCAACTCAGGATTGCCGTGAGAGCTGACGCACATCGACGAAGGGCTGAGAACGCACGTCGCCCAGTGGAAACTGGCCAAAGCGATCTTGGTCGAACAAACTCGAATCAAAGCCCATCAATTCCTCTCAATATTGTTAGGCAGGTTGGAGTTGACCCTTTTGGAGCAGGTTGGTTCTTGCTAGGACATGAGATGGACACGAGTTGATTGAACCCTGAGAAGGATCCCTAAGCCAAAAGATCAGGACCAAATCGTCTGGTATGTACTGTAGTATTTATGGAGCCCCCAGGCATCCATTGGTACGTCTGAAACTTCTGGGTCCGTGATCCCTGGTTCCTGAGATCGAAGTCCCCAAGATCCGAAGCATGTGCAGCTTTAACGTCAAAAAAGGTGTCTACGAGAGACTGTGATTGGACATCCCCATTGATTATGAAACTGTGGACGGTGGAAGCCACAAAAATGGTTCATCCCCTACAAGGAACGCATCGCCAAAAGCCGTGTGTTGGGGGTAACTTCTGCAAGATCCTGCATTGCCTTTGTCGAGTACTTAACATCAAACACACGCCAACCGCCAATAGAATTCAACATAGAACATAGGCATGGCAAATGGAGGGCGGCTTTTCGGAAAACACAACGACGCTGGCCGACCTATAAAGCAACTATATATAACTATATAACATATAACATATGCACACAATTGCATACATATAGAGATAATGTTGTATGTAGATATTCTGTCTCTATGTAAAACCATATAAGCACACCATTGCACACCTACTATAGTGAGCCCATTCACCCCATCCCTCAATCCGCTCTGCCACCGCGGGCCTGACCCACCATTGAGGCCCCACCAAGTGCTCAGCTACTGGAGACAGCTGCACAGCTGTCACCCCTGAGGGGCCCAAGACTTCTTGGCATTCCTTCAAGACGTCCACCTGAAAAATGCCGGACCGATGGGCCGCCCCGGCATGTCCTCGTTCCGGACATCGGGCCTCCGGAACCATGGTCTCACGTTTTGGTGAACACGTTGGTGGCACCTCCATGGAAACATATCATCATGATAGAATAGAACACACATGAAACGCATCTTATCATCATATCCATCAGGACATCCGGCAGAGTCTTCCGGCCTTAATAACATAGTATATATTGGACCAAGTTCCACACCGTTTCATGGCCCAATAAATCTTTGAGTCCCGAATATAAATACTAAAACATGTAAAAAGGCTAATTGATCAAAATCTTCCCCCACCAAACCATGGAAGATTCTTACCAAGTTACCAAAGATCTATAAACCCCTACAAATCTGTTCATCTTCGGAGGTCAGTCCCCTGAGTCCCCTTGATTTTTTGACCCACTGCCCTTCCATCTGTTCCTAAAGATCCTCGTTCTTCGGGTCGCATAGTTCCATTCCCAGAGCTTCACATAGGTGGCGCTCCGCCGCTCGCGGCCACCTTCACCGCCAAAGGGCTCCTGCGGAACGGAGCGCCCTTGAGACTGCAGCTACGAGGCTTGGACCAAGAACATGCTTATAAATGGTCGTCTGTACATACCATACCATTCACCATCTGTAGTGTTTGATATTTCTTGGTGTCTTGTTGCTTCCAGCCCACCATGTTTTCCAAGCTGCGCCTGGTAGTTGCACAAGCTGCTGTGCACCCAAACACGCTCCGTGTCGTTGCCTGCGCAAATGGGTTTCATCGGCGGGGGAGGCCTGCAAAGGACATGGAAACTTCTTGATGGATTGCAGTCTCCCAGCTCAATACCCTGCAAAACAGCGCAAAACCAAACCAGATCACTAGCCTTGCCCGTGCTACGCAATCCAAACTGTGCAGCACGTCTGACACTTGCTTTTGGCACATCGCTTCTGGCAGTTTCACCGCTTGTGTCAACGGTATCTGGGTGTCTGGCGGGTCCAGCCCTTTCTCGAACCGCTGGGCAGGTCCAGGCCACGAACGACACGGAAGAGGCCTGCGCAACAAGCGATGAAGTTGTCAAGCATAGGCAATAGGACAAAATCTGGCTGCAAAGACTCATGTAGTCTTGCATAAATAAATATATAGAGAGAGATTCTCAGCCCACTACCCGAGATGGAGAAGTCAACACTACCAGCGTGTTTTAGTTTTCCATATGTCTTTTTTCACAGGCTCCATCGTCTCAAGGGCATGCTCGATCTCTGAAGACCTGGCAGGTCCCGCAAAGAAGGCATATGAATATGGCTTAGAATGTCAAGCAATACATACGAGTAGGCTTTAGTTTTTAGTCAACTATCCTTCTTTTAGTGGGTTTGGAGGGACTCCACTTGTGAGCCACTGCTACGTCCCAAACACCAAACCATTGCGGCTGCCGCGCCTTCCTCCGGTGGCCTTCCTTCGCGTCTGCTCACCATGATGGCTGTGCCATCGGAGCGGAGCAGTCCTCGAGGGCTCTGGAGCAGAACGTAGGCACCTGGAAAGGAGATGAAACAAACAATCAATAGGACCTGGGACCAACCTTTCTCCCGACCCAAAAACAATGGCGAAGGCATTCTGATGTTTCTGATGAGCCAACCCTCCAAATCCAATGTCTTGGAACATCATGGAGCTGATTCTTGTTTTTTCTTTGGGGGGGTGGTTGGCCTTCAATGTGCACAAAGTCCTCAAGCAAATTACTAAGGGTCTCCACGTCGACAGGTCCAAGGCCTTAGGTGTTTGGAACATCTCCGTCTTCGCCTTAAACTGCCTTAAACACTTCTTAAAGGCCAATCCGCAATCGGTCGCCCTGCGTGCTCTGCCTTCCCGGGTGATGTTGAAGGTCTCTCCATCGTCCTGAAGGCCAACCCGACAACGGATGTGACACCGCATGCGCAAGCGAATGCGAAGCCTGGCCAAGCGCAGGGAAAGGCCACCGGCAAGCGGGGATGCGGTGGCCATGCCGCGAAAAAGAACATCAGGTCTGAAGAATGTGCGCCTCCGAACCCACAAAAGCAACCCGATGAACCTCACTTGTGAACCTTTCTGATCCGTTCGTCCTTTCTGGTGGGTTGAGAGAAATTGTATGACATTGTGAGTTTCAGCCATGCAAGGTATAATCGTTCAGCACCATCACTGCTGCACATTGACTGGGTTACTGTTTATCTTTCGTAACGCCGCCTGTGGTGCCTGTGTCACCGGACCCGGCGCCCTATGCCAGATCAAAGCGCATCCAAGCCGCCCACCGACTAGCTTCCAAGGATCCAGAAGATGCTACAGTGACAAAGTGACCTTGCGCAACTCGCCCAAACAAGTGACCCTAGACCCAAGGTCTAAGGCGCCAAACGGTCCAACAACCACCCAGCGGCATGATCCAAGAGATACACACCGACAATATTCAACATCCCTTTGCAAAAAGTCGCCCAGTTTCTGCCAACACTCCGATTAAAGCCTGAGAAACACACAAACATTACATTTCTTGACTTTCACAACATCCCCATTTACTATGCAGAGTGCTTATTTGGAACTGAGTTGCCAAAATAGCAATCTTCTGGGATTTTTTGATGCCAGGCCGCCATGTACCCTCAAACTATACTATACTGTATAAAGAGGGATGCTCACCCATTCTTTTAGTTAGATTTTATGGTTTTGACCCATCGCCTCGAATTGAAATTGTCCTCCAATAAAATTCGCAATTCATCCAAGTGCTGGAGAATGAGTTGCCCAAACGCGTCCAAACGCTATCTTTGCCAGACTGTTCAATCCAAGCTGAGCTCTGCCTGGCCGTTCAGCTTAGGAAACAAATCTGCCTGATCGGGCTCTCATTCATCTTCTTCCCAGTGCACTGAGGCAACCACCGTCGGCACTCTGCAACTTCGCAACACTGCCCGTTGGCCGCAGGGCCTTGGGAAAGTAGGTGAATCAGCCAGGCGAACTGTCGCTGAGAGGAAGTGCATGTTCGGTTCTTCCTTGAAACAACCTCCTCCTCCCGAAGCTCAAATTGAACCAACTCGGCTTAGCGATTAAAGTTGATTAAAGTAACAACTGCTCAACCGCAGCGCTTCCTCATTGAAGTCTGATCTTAGGTGATACGTGCATCGCCCAATATCGACCAATGATCTTAGCATCGCCCAATGACCTAGTCGGCCTGGGATCAAACCAAGTGACCACTGCCAAAGATGCCACAGGTGTATCTTCAGCGACCTCAGTTCCAGGGCCACCAAAAAAGGAGCCCAACGGTACTGACCCCTGAGGTTGGAATGATGATCACATACAAATCTATTCTTTTTGGCGGGCCTCGGTTTCAAACTCATGCAGTCCCAAGCATGAATGGCCAATGGCAAGCCTTGCGTTAGCATCACGGGGGATTTTTGTGGCTGCCAAGCAGAGAGAGAGAGAGAGAGAGAGAGAGAGTTTCCTACTCATCAAACACTGATGTCCTGGGTGTGGCGGTCTCGAAACTGATGTCGGACATGAGGGATATCCCTGAGAACACTCAAAAAAGCCAAGATACAAGTGTCCTGTCCCGACTGGTGGTCACAAGACGCCCATGGTAGTCCTTCAGAAAAGTGCCTTGGTGGCTCGTCTGCATGTCTGCACTGGCTTGGGTATAAATATGAATATGACGCCAAAAACAATGGACAACACATTCGAAACTAAAGCCGATCTGGCACTTCATTGTTGCTACCTAATACACATTATATATATATATAAATACATAACGTGGGCAATGTTTGATACAGTCATGCTAAAAACCGAAGACTGTTTGATTAGTCTGTAGTCTTGGTTCTTTGGGCTTTGGCCGTTTAACATGCGGCTATTGAAGCACAATTCGAGTTTGTCCCTCCATGCCTGGAAGAACTGCAATATAGACAGCAATAACAAATGCCCAGATTCAAGAGGCATTCACTACAATCCAAAAAAGAGGGTTTCGGGGTTTATGAATATCAAGAGTCTACGGTTTGGACATGTTTGGAACCCCCTTGCAACCACATGCCTTCGCCCACTGCGAACATGTCACCATCCGGCTCAGCGACGCCTGAGTCTGCTGCCCTGCAGGGAAAAAGGACTGCGACATGATTTTCAAACACCAATGCACAACATGCGTCGCTAATCACATAGAACAAAACCAGCACGACAAGTCCACTGAACACTGGGCGTTCTTGTTCCCAGATTGTTGTGTTGAACCGTCAACGCCTTGTGTTGGAACAAGTGTAGTCACCATCTGGTGCCTGGAAACCATTGAACACACGAGCCCCAAATCCTCCGAACAGCAAGGTCGTCCAATGGCAGAAAAAAATAGTGCACTTACCTCGACACACCCAAACCTCGCTAAGCTCGATCGCTCCTAAACCTGGCCTGTGGAGGGCCTCTTTGGAGCTGCAGTTCCAAAGTTCACAGCTCCCCACCCGGAAGACCCACACGTTGCACTTCGCTGCTCGCGCACCTCAGTGCACAGCTCGCGCACCTAAGGCACAGCTAGGTTGATTCACAGCGCCGTGAAACAGAGCTTTGCGGGCTGCGGGCTTGGATGGGGTTGGCTGGGTTGATGGCGATGATTTTGTTGATGTAAAGCTGTCACAATGTGTTGGACCAAACTCTCAAGCCTCAGCTGAAGAACCAAAAAAACCGACAGCCCCAGGACCCCTGGTAGAGTATGTGTGTTCAAACTTCTCAGCCTGGGTGATGCATGAGTTCGCCCCGTTCTCGACTCAGCTTGGCGCTCTCCAAGCATCGGGTTCGAGCGCTGGTCTCCTGCTTCAACTCATTCAATCCGAAGAGGGGCCCCTCCTCAAACGAGCTATCGCCCAGGAAGCGAAATGATGTGAGACTAAGAGGTGAGGAAGGTGGGGATCACATCAATGTGAAGCAAAACCTTGGAAGATCTGAATCCGTTTCTGCTTGCTCTAATGCTACGCCCGCGGGTCCCAACCATGCATTTCCTGCGCTCGCCCACATCGCCCAGCAGTTCCACACTCACCATGATCCATCACACAATCCATCTCACCATGCTCCTCCGGTCACTTCCCACCATGGACATCCATGGACCCTTCCACAGTGGCTGATGTTCCCCTTTAGTTCATCGCTGATGTTCCCCTCCGAAGTGGTGTCCCTCCGTCGCCGGTGTCCATTCCCCGGAGATCCTGTCGGCCGCATCGTTGGCAGCCGGGTTTGTCCACCAAGGGAGGTAAATAGCACAAAGGCATCGCCTCTAGTGGACCGCCTTGGCGACTTTGAGCCACAGTCAGTGGTCTGATCGGGCGAACGGAGGAATAAATGTGTCATGCTCTTGATCCTCTACATCCAACTGTATAGTGTAAACTTCCCAAGCCTAGACGAATGTTTGTAGCTTGTGGATGCCATGCCTCTTGAATACTAAGGTCTATCGCACCCAGTGCCGTGTTTGGGCTTGCCAGTTGTTTCTAATGTCTACAAGGCCTTTAAACTCCAACATCAGGCAGCTAGCCCGCATCATGCTGAACTGTTGCACCCCATGTGTCCCTTGCTTTCTGCATGATTGGCCACCCCTTTGTGGCTGCCGACTGAGTCACTTGAGGGCTCAAAAAGAAAGGACGATACCAACATGCTGGTGGTAGAAGTAGTTGTAGCCGTCGAGAAGGTCGTGCTCGGAGTTGTTGATGTCACAGAGCTGTTGGTGGAAGTGGTGGTTCTGGACGCGGTGGTTGTGAATGTTTCTGTGGTTGGAATTCTCGTGCTGCTGCTTGTAGGTCTAGTAGTTCTACTGCTGCTTGTTGCTGTCACGGTTGTCGTGGTGGTGGTTGTGGCACTTCTGGTCGTTGTGATTGTCGTACTTCGAGTGCTGGTGCTAGTCGTGGAGAATGTGGTGAAACTACGAGTGAAGCTCGTAGTGCTAATGGTTGCGGTAAAGCTTGTAGATCTTGTAGTGCTGGTAAAGCTGGTGCTCGTGAAACTGGTGCTCGTGGTGGTGATGGTGAAGCTACTTCCCAAGCTACTTCTCGTGCTGGTGGAGGTGGAGGTCTCCGGCCATCCGCCGTCTGCTCCGCTGAGGTTGGACGTGAAACCTCCGCTGGGCCATCCGCCTGCGAGGCGACGTCGCATGCGAAAGTGCGAGGCGTTGGGGGAAATATATGGCTGGGGTTGCCAGGTGTGTCTTCCCGCAAATCTTAGGGTCTTAGGGGTAAATGCATGGTCAAGCAAGGATCAAAGTAGTGCACTTGGCTTACGGATGAATACAGGACAGGTCAGCTTGAACAGCGAGTGGAACCCCTAAGGATGAATGAGCTAGTTGCTTGGCAGGGGCAGCAAACACTATCATTTGAACTAGGTTAAAGAATGACAAGTTCTGACTGACCATATGATCCATATGGAACCTTCATTGGGCATCAAACCCTGACAGGGCCTCTGGCTCTGCTGGCCGCCTTTCAGCAACGATTGGCCTGTGAAGTTGAACCTTCTTGATGCAAGGGCTTGTGTCGCTGCACCAAAATCGGCACTAAAGTGGCCAGGTCTGATTTGGGTGACGTATTTCTAGGTGGCGAGCGGCTCACTGTGCTCATATCATCATGACAAAAAGGTGCGAGCTGCCAATGCAACAACTCCCCCCTCCAAAACGATTGATAAAAGGTAAGCTACTCTTGATTCACGAAGCTCCTGAAATGAACGTTTTGTTTATTTTCAAAACAAGAGTGGGGGGGGTTTAACTCAGGACTCAGGAGGTCTATGCATCTCAAGCTGTCACTGCCCATGGAAACTTCCAATCGCCCCAGGGCACCAAACCATGCGCCGCCCCACCGCGGCAGCGCCTCGGTCCGAGTCGTCCTCAGCGCCAAACGGATTGGAAGGCGAAGGGGGAGGAGTGTAGATCGAAACAAATGATTCAGTGTACAGCTGATTCAGTAGATGCGCATTTGCTGACGTTATCATATTAGCATTCATATATGCAATCTGACTAAGCATGCTCCAAAGATCTCTCAGATGGGTCCCTTCAATTTTTTGCAAACAAATTGCCTCAGAGGAATTCCTCGTGATGTTGCCATTCTCCTCAGCATCTCGTAAACCACAAAGCGACAGTCAGGGATAAACGCCGTAAACATGGAATCATGGAAGGTCAGCAAATGTCAGCAAATATGGGTCAAGAACTGTCTCCAATCTCCAAAAGGGCCTCACTCAGGGGTCAAGTTCTCATAAAATTGTTCCAATTCGATGATTCAACACACCAAACATGAGACAGAGTTCCCACAAAACAATCTCAGTTCTCACCAAGGGACTGACTCGATGTCACTCTCATTGACCTCCCAGCTCTCGCTGTCCAAATTCTGCGCTCCAAGATCGGGCCTCGAATGTCAAGTGTGGATGAAATATCGGCATCTAACCAAAGTGTTGTCAAATGAACGTATTGAAAAAAGTGATTAAAAACAAAAAACTCCAAGAACAATTGGACTATTGCCAGTAACAATCAGTCACGCACCTGCACTACGAACCCGTTGGGGGGTGAGGGCTCTTTACCACACCCATCCCGTATTTTGCGCTCGTCACAGGTCTCTGAATCAGTCACAGGCACCGTCTCATTACCCACCTCAGCGCCCTCCGAAGACGCACCGTGTGGCAGCGACATACCCATGGGACCGCTGATGTTCTCCGTTGCATTGCTCTCAGAGCTGTTCGCCTGCCTGGGGGAACTGGCACAGGTGACCAACACCCATATCTGTTCGCTTCTGGTTGAAATGAACATCCACGGAGTGTTTGTAAAATCGCCCGTGCTAAGTCCAAAAGCCTCTGCATTTTAGCAAAGGAGCTTCCCACACGGGCGTGGGACACTGCACCGGTCAGTGTTCCACGCAATCTTCGACTCGAAGAGCGAAAGAAAGAAACACGTAACATGATGGTGATGATATCATTGTGGATTATCACATATAAATACTAGCAATCAAAACAAAACACACACATCATACACATCACAAACATCACACTGAGCGAGCATCCCAAATGCCCCAAGTCAAACACCTCCAAGGCACGTCGACTTCTTCTCGCCGCGGAGCCTGGGCGATGCGTCGAAGCGCGGAGCCGGAGCGCTCTTGGAGTCATCTCCGAAACTAAACAGGATGGACATGTTAAGGCCGATGATGGGCATGTTTACACAACTCTTTTAGAGAACTCCTTTTATAGGATCCTGTATTTAGTTGTTCATGTTTTGACAACTCTTTTAGATCGAACTTTTGTTTCATGGCTGTCCGACGCCTTTCTTGTTGGTTTCTATGTCTGTCCCCAAGCGATCGCCAGCAGCTGTATCACCGGATGCCTTGGGACGATGTCCCAGGTAAACTGCAAAGCTGGTCCAGGAGGCTCCGAAAAGGGAATAGAAAGATCAACGCATACAGGCACCAATATATGCTTGCGACTCGCGACTGATTATGTAGCGTCACAGGATTCACTCATGTCATACTGTGTTTGGATCTTATACCACATTTGGGGTCATTGGAACACACATGAACACACCAAGTCGCAGACTGGGATTGCCCTCTGTTCAATTACAGGGGCACGCGTCTCAAGCATGCCTTGTGATACATTGTTACAAGGGCAGGTTCAAGGTTTTGCTAGAACAAGATCACCTCCCCCTACGACCAAAACACGAGGACGACACCAACAACACAAAGCCCTCCATTCTCACTCCAAGCCCCCTGTGGTTCTTGGGCTCGCTGGCCCACTCCTTCGCTCCTTCGCTTCGCTCTGCCACGGCACTGAGCCGTCTCCAGGCTGAGCCCCATCAGTTGCCTTGCGAAGACCGCGAAGAGCACCAGCACCAGCCTCGACCGGCCGGTCCGGTCCGGTCCAGAAAGCGGTTCGCACGACGGTCCGGACCGTGGTGGGCGGCCAGCGTGGTCCTCTCCGCATGGAGTTACCCATGGCGAACCCCCTTCTTGGAGGAGAAACATGGGAGTTTAGCCCTGGAAGGGGTTCGTGTGGCGCGCTGTGTCTTGAGACCGAGTTTTAGATCACACAACGGAAAGCAAACACTGGAGTATGCCAGGATCATGCCCTTATGTGCATTCGATGTCAGACTCTCAAAACAAAAGAGATCCACAAGCTCCTGGATTGCCATCTATGTTCTATACTGAAAGCTTTCGGACATCATTCAATGAAACCTTTGGGGTTGATTGGCTTGTCAAGACTTGGTATTTGAGTGCTCCTCTCTATTCGCCCGGGTGCAAGCCACAGGAGCAGCACACGCAGGCAGTGTCAGGATGACAGCCTCGGAGATCAGTTCAGGCAAACTCTATGCGAGTCCTCCATTTTGGTGCAGACCTCAGACCTCTATATTTTCTGCAGAAGAGATCCAAAACACATCAAACCAGCACAAACCTCGGATGGATTTTGAACCTTGTCTTGGACAAGGTGAACTTACTGACGAATCCCTGAGGAGGCCCACTGGAACGCCATCCCACCGTGGCGTGGCTGGTCGCAGTCGCACTGGACCGAGCCAGTTCTGACCTGTGGACCTATGACCTATGAGGACCGCAAAATTCCACTTCCACTCGTTCCAGCATCTTGAGGTCCTCATAGGTCACTGGGTGGTCCTTTGGATTCACTTCCTTTGGATTCTACGTGATTCCAGGGGTGGTCCTATATGACCTATGAGGACCTCGTTCCACTTCTTCCACCCCTTTGATTCCAGCACTGTTTGAGCGCCAAGCCGCGTCGTCTGGACTTCCGGTGCTTCGAGGTGCGTCGTCTGCGAGGCTCCACCACGATCTCAAGGACCTGGCAGTTGGGTCTATAAAAAAGAAGCCCGGTATATTGATCAATGGATTCAGGGAGGCCGCTCATATTCGCACACAGATCCAACTCATATTCGCACACAGACCCCCCCTGAAATCTCACTCAGATTCGCACACAGATGACAACTCATCTTTACACACGCACACGTTTTCTACCTCATCTTTACACACGCGCACTTTTGATTGCCTTTCAAAGCACACTTCTGCCACGCAAACCCATGAGCGGGTTGGGGGTGGGGGGTGGGGTGGGGTGGGTTGCAGTTAGCAACCAGACAGTGTGACTCTGAAGCGCTGCAAGGGTTCATAAGATTGTGTTCATAAGATTGAAACATATATACTAATTAAACACAAATATATATATGCATAAGATTGCGTTCATAAGATACTCCCGCGTGCAAAAACGAGCAACCGCTCAATGGATTGGTTAAGGATGTTCAAGGGAATCCGCCGGCCCTTGGGCGCCGGCGTGTTTCATCAATGTGGCTTGTATGTAGCTTAAGTTATGTTGAATCTATATGTAAAAAGAAAAGTGTCTCTGGAGCGAGTTTTTGCCTCGTCTAACTTGACCCCCCCCCCCCCCCCCCCCCCAAGAACATCCCGAATGTATGTAGCTCACATATATCATAGCTAAAGTGAAAGGTTGTGTGCGCTTCCTTCTTATCGCCGTTCTTCTCTTGTCGTTGTCCATGCATTGCGCTTCTGCTTTGCATGCGTTTTTCCTCAGGTTTTGCACCTGCACTCACGTATCTATCGTTTTTTGCAGACTCAGACTGCTTGGAAATCCCCATGCCACACATGTCCTCATTACTCTCTTGTATCATGTCTGAC